AGAACTGGCTAGCACTTAGGAGGTTGAATTTCAGACCTTTGACATATGAGACATCTTCAATGATTATCTGGTTCTTGATCAGCTTTCCTCTTCCTTTTGTTTGCCCTTCCTTGTCATTTCCACCGAAAGTGACTCTGGGTCCATTGATTTTCTGGAACTCTGATAGGCAACTCTTGTCACCTGTCATGTGCCTGGAGCATCCACTGTCAATATACCATTCTTTTTCTGAGATAGCTCCAGCACACTGTTCCTGCAAGTTTAAAAGGAAGATTTAGGTACCCAAGCAATGTTGGGTCCTGGGGGGTAATGCAGTCTTGGTAGTTGGTACCATTTTGGTCTCATCAACTGAAACCTTGGTGGATGATACCCATTGTCCACCTGGTAGTTGTAGTAAACAGATGTATGATTCACTTTGGGCAGATGCTTGTGAGGATCATGCTTTCTGTTTGCATACTTCTGCATAGCCTTCTTTGTTGGAAAGAAGTCCCATATACTATCAAGATCAGAGGAGCGCTTAACTTTAGACTTCTGAGGTTGACCAGACAACCTCTTCTGCCTATAGTTAATCTTCTCTTGATATCTGCCTTTCTGATAGCAGTTTCTGATACCATTGTCATGAGATTGTCTGATAGGGTTAGGCCTTTGATTATTATTGTTCTGAAAACTTTTCCTTTTGTTAGAGTGTCTGCCAGGTTCATTAGTTTTCAAACTTTGTTTTGGTTTGGCCTTTAGAGTTTGTTTCTCTGGTATGACCTTCTCATGAACAACTTTAGTACCAGAAGTACTAGCATGGCAATTGGGGCTCAGAGTCTGTGGCACTATGACCTTTTTAGCCTTAGCAACTCGGGTGCTAGGCCTTACAGAAGGCTCACCAGACTCTGGTTCGACATATCCAAGACCAGAGGTGAAGTTATGAGAGTCACCAATATTCTTCATGGAAGATTGCATCTTCAGAAAGCTATTATATCTACTCTCAAGTTCCTCAATGTCTCTTATTCTTTTCAGAAGAGACTCATTTTCAGCTTTCAGTCTATCTCTTTCCTCAGTTAAGAGATTAAGTTTACACTCAGTCTCTTTCCTTAGATCAGAGATATCAACTTTCAGCCTACTGTTCTCTTCTTTAACAAAAGAATAAGTGGCTTGGATAGTTTGGAACTCTTCCCAGAATGATGACATTGGATCATCATTTAAGGCTGTGCCTACCGAAGAGGAAATAGAATTAGAAGTAGAGCATACCTCATCATCTGATTGTGCCATGAGGCAAAGATCTTCAGTTTCTGCATCCAGGCAGCAGAATGCTTCATCAGAGTCGGAGTCTGAGCTAGACTCTGATTCAGAGAGTGGATCTCTCTCAGCTTGTTCTGAGACAAATGCTCTTCTTCTTCTGTGTTGATCATCTGGTTTCTTTTCATCTTCATGTCCTTGCTTCTTGGACACTCTTTGTGACACCGCGCCCGAACGTCCTTGAAAATTTGATTTAAAAATTCAAAGTTTATGTATTGGATTTCTGTTTCCCAAACAATTGTAAAACGATTAATGTTTTACGTAATTAATGATCGATTAGTGTACTGTTCGAACTCGTATATTAGTGACGGGCATGCAAATACTATTTGGGTCTTATTAATAAATAAAAGAGCCCAACATTATCCAAATTGTGATACATGACCTTTCAAGACAGTCCGAGTAAGGTCGGACGGCCCAAACGTTATTTTGAGTCCAACCTGCTAAAAATAGCAAGTATTCGAGAATGGCGTTCTAGACCCACTCGGGAGTGACCCACATGGCTAGTAGCCCATTAATATGTATGACAAATGTCAAATAAGTGATAGAATGATTAAAGAAGAATACAAATGCCTATAACCCCATCTTTGGCATTATTGAGCTAAATAATGGGAGTAGGATTTTCCTTCTATAATATCCATCAAGTAAATTATTGGGATGATCATACACATAATGGAGATCAATAATATGATGTAGAGAGTTGACTTGTTCTAAATAAATTAGAATGAGTACAAAGAGACATCTTATGACAAAGAGATCAAAAGTGAGACCCACCCATGTCTAAAAACATCTCATGGAGACCATACCAATTCATTTCACTCCACACAACTTATCCACCCTTATTGAAGGGTCTTGGACACTCCCTTAAGCCCCTCATTCGAACTCCCAAGGATAAGGGAGAAGGAGAGAGCCACACAACCAAGAAAGCAAGAGAAAGGGGAAGCTGCCGCAGGTTCGTTTTCCAGTGCGTAAGGTTACTTGTTTGCTTCATATCTCGAGTTATACACATCCAAATAAGGCGTGCGAGATACCCACAGAAAGCTCTCAAGACGAGGAATCCGTGAAGGTCTGGTTTGCATCAATCGGAGTAGTGGAAGGCTTCCAAATCGTCCGAGCAAAACACAACCTCGCGGAATACGTTTTTTGTATTCAAGGTAAGTTTGAATCCAAAACTTTCCTCTCTATTGTCTAAACCATATAAATGATTGAAGAACTATTATACACTGATTGAAGTGTATAAAATGTTATTATAAAGTGACTTTAATTGTTGGAAAAGTTAGATACTAATCTAGACAAAACCTTGAAAGGTTAGGGAACGATTTCGTCGGGAACACCCGTTCTAGGGACTGTTTTTGTGTCCTCGGTTAGGAGTTGAACTAGCACTTTGGAGAGGCTGTTTAACACTCAATTCCAAGCAAGGAATCAGTTCTCAATCTTCCTTGGCCAAAGCTTTGACCATGGGATCAAGAAAGAAAGGTTTGAAGCTCAATTAAGGTGAGGATGACCGACTACATTGCTTATAATTATTGGGTTAATTTCATAAGATTACCTAAATGAATTATATGTGTTTGGCATGATTTATTTATAATATAACAAAATGCCTAAATGAGATTATTATTGTTTATAAGTAAAAGTGCATAATATACAAATTTATGAATAAATTGTGTATGATTATGTATTATGAATACAATGGTATAATAGCGTGTAAACTATAAATGAATTGTGATAAATATACTTTTACCTCATGTAAGGAAGTCATGGAAGGATAAAAGTGATATTTTGATATTAGAACCAAGTTATACTTGAATGTGGAATTAAATTGAAATAGCCAAATTACTATGAAATTGCATTGGCTTATTAAGGTTAAATGATTAGTATAGAAATACTAGCCGGGGATGTTAGCGTAAAAAGTGATAGAACAAATCCTAAGGGCTTGGATTGTGAAGGATGCACCTTAAGTAGTCTTATGAGATGTCTTAAGGTAGGAATGGGTAACCGCTAAATTACATTAGGAGTAGGCCTCATAGGCTACTCAAGATAGAGAAAACCTAGGCATAGAATTTGCTTAGTGAGTAGTATCGTGACTAGAGGAAGCCTCTAGCACGATGAGGAATGACTGGAGGAAGCCTCCAGCATTCGTGTAGGACGACTAGAGGAAGCCTCTAGCGTAGTGTAAGATGACTAGAGGAAGCCTCTAGCATAATGTAATGTGACTGGAGGAAGCCTCCAGCACAAAGTATGAAAGGTGATTAGAGGAAGCCTCTAACACCGAATGTAGTGACTAGAGTCAGCCTCTAGCACGACAAAACATGACTAGAGGAAGCCTCTAGCATAATGTAATGTGACTGGAGGAAGCCTCCAGCACAAAGTATGAAAGGTGATTAGAGGAAGCCTCTAACACCGAATGTAGTGACTAGAGTCAGCCTCTAGCACGACAAAACATGACTAGAGGAAGCCTCTAGCATGGTAAACTGATATAGATGGGTGTGGCTTGAAGTCACGGGGGAGGGGTTAAATGTTTTCAAAGTAAACATGAGCCTTCGGCCGACTACTTGACTTTATATATAAAGTAAGTATATTTGTAAAGAGGGTAACCACGAGTTATGACCTATATTGTAATATCACCCTATTTGAGGGTCTTGGAAATTGAAACGTTGATTATACTTAGTATAGTTGTCATTGTACTTGTCAAATGCTTCCAAGTACTGACCTCCCCTTCACGGGGGAGGCCACCTCACAGTTTCAGGTAGGACTTGAAGGTTGCTACCACGCCCGTTGCTTCGGGAAGATCAAAGGAGGAGGACGTGGTTCGTGCTTCTTCCGTTTCTGTTTTAAACAATTACAATAATGCTCATGGAAATTATTTTGAATACTATTTGGGGGCTTGTATGCCCATGTTTGCCACGTGTGGCTTGAATACGTGTATTAATGTTTCCGCTGCTTTAAATGAATATTTTACATTATGTTTGTTTATGGATGTACTATGTGTGAATGGTATTCAAGACGCCTAGTATAGTATGTATGAGTTGGACTGCGGTTGACTATTCGTACTGTACGGCGGGTTGTTGACGTGTCCGGTAGGTCCGGGGCGTGACAATTTAATTGGTATCAGAGCCTTAGTCCATAAACTTCATAATGAAGTCTCAAAATTCTCTTTTCAAAATGATTTTTGAAAACCATGAGCAAAAATGTTTTGTACTTAAGAACTTTTGGTGTTTGAGTTGCAAGGTCTCTAATTGTTAAGATGGCGCCCTTAACGATTGGTATGGCGGTGACTTGGCCCAAGAGATGTCTTAAGTGCCTATCTGTCAGTTGACATTTGAAACGAGTCTAATGACTCATTCTAATTATTTCTTTCAGCGATGGAGGGTGATGGTGGTATTATGAATAGGGAGAACTCGGAAGGGTTTGCACCGGGTGGAACCGGGCATGCCAACCGAGAAAAGCCCTTAGGACCAAAGGTGCACGAAACTCTTGAAGCTCAAATCGTGAGTGGTGGTCATGTTAAGACCAAGGAAGAATCACCTTGTTATGGCAAAACTGAACCACTCAAGGCTTCGGGTGACGAAGGAGATGATTTGAGTGATGAGGACCTTGATGGTGCACCCATTGAACAAATGGGCATGGTCATAGATTGGCTTCAACGTGAACGTGTGAGGCTTATACAAAAACGCCAAGCTAGGCAAGCTGAGGGCATACCATTAGTAAGGAAAAGGAAGCGGGGAGACAACGATTCCCAAAGACATTCAAGGAGGACAAACGTTGAGGGTGACAAAACCTTCAGGGCGCAGACACTATCACTTGAGTGGAGTCGAGGCTTGGGTGGCCCGAACTCGAGGTCAAAAGTTTCGAGGGTACCTAAGTGCAACAATTGCAAGAAACACCACTCGGGTAAGTGTCAGGACCCTCCCAGGTGCTATCAATGCACAGAGGTCGGGCACACGAGAGTGAGTTGCCCACAAATTGTGCAAAACCAAACTTCGGGGTCAAGTGGTGGAACTACAAGAAATGAAAACCAAACCGAGGTTTCTCAAGGGAGCAGGGGACATGGGGGAGCAAGCACGAGCAACGCGCCATCCGTGAACCAAGGAAGGACCCAAGCTAGGGTCTATGCGATGACGGAGGCGGATGCTCAAGCTAACCTGGATTCCGTTGAAGGTAGTACCTCTTGTATACTTGTTTTTTATCCTTAATTAGTCCATAAATTGAGGTTGCTAGTCGTTGGGATCGTTGCACGAAGCTTGGGGGTCAAACGGAGCGAAAATCGGGTGAAAGACGGCTGATTTTTTGCCAACGCACACCAGGCTGGACCATACGCACGGCCGTGCGTTGTCCGTGCGTTGGTCCGTGCGTTGGTGGCAGTAGCAACCGGGAAGAAATTGCTATACGCACGGCCGTGCGTTGTCCGTGCGTTGGTCCGTGTGTTGGTGGCAGTAGCAACCGGGAAGAAATTGCTATACGCACGGACGTGCGTTGTCCGTGCGTTGGTCCGTGCGTTGGTGGCAGTAGCTCCGTTTTGAGGTTATAAGACACGCACGCCGTGCGTACCTCCTAGGCACGCCGTGCGTACCTCCTGGACAGCCCAAAGTCGACTTTTTTGCGCCGTATTGCAACGTTAAGACCCGTTCTTGATCTCAAACACGTGTGTGAACATAATAAACCTCTCTAAATGAGTAGGGAGGGTAGGAAAGATGTCTTACATGGTTCATGAATGTAGGGACACTAAAGATTAATGGGAAGGATGCGCGAATCCTTATCGATACCGGGGCGCAACGTTCATTTGTGAATGAAGCGTTCGCCAAGAGTTTGGAAGTGCAATCCGCACCATTGATGCAAACCTTAGTGGTATCAACACCACTAGGGGATGACGTGGAAACAACTCGTTACAATCCATCTTGTGGGGTGGAAGTTAATGGTCAAACCTTGACGTGTGACTTCGTACCGCTGAGCATGATTGAATTCGATGCAATCCTAGGGTTGGATTGGCTAGAAAGGAACCATGCTAGGGTAGATTGCTACACGAAGGTTCTTAAACTCGAAGGCAATGATGGGGAGACCCTACGCTTCGAGGGCGATCGAGGGAGATCAAACAGATGTATCATATTCGTCGTGAGAGCGAGAAGTAGGATGAGAAAGGGATGCCACGCATATCTAGCATACGTGGTTGACATAACCAAAGAGGAAACGAACATCGATGATGTGAGGGTGGTTTGTAAGTACCCGGATGTTTTCCCTAAAGACATACCGGGGCTTCCACCTAATAGGGAGATTGAATTTGTGATCGAGGTCGAACCCGGTACGAAACCAATCTCTATACCGCCATGTCGGATGGCACCTGCTGAACTTAATGAATTGAAAACCCAATTGCAAGAGCTATTGGATAATGGTTTCATTAGAGCAAGACACTCCCCGTGGGGAGCACCAGTTCTTTTTGTGAAAAAGAAAGGTGGGACACTTCGAATGTGCATTGACTATCGTCGACTGAACAAGGTCACAATCAAGAATAGGTATCCTTTGCCTAGGATTGATGACTTGTTTGATCAACTACGAGGAGCAACCGTGTTTTCGAAGATTGACTTGAGGTCGGGGTACCATCAATTGAAGATCAAGAAAGATGACATACCAAAGAGTGCTTTCCGCACAAGGTATGGGCATTTTGAGTTCCTCGTTATGTCGTTTGGGTTAACAAATGCCCCAGCGGCATTCATGGACTTGATGAACCGAGTATTCCATAAATGCTTGGATCGATTCGTGGTCGTGTTCATAGATGACATCTTGATTTACTCAAGGAGTGAAGAAGAACATGAGGAGCACTTGATACTTGTCCTCGAGACGCTACAGGGGAAGCAACTCTATGCCAAATTCTCTAAATGTGAATTTTGGCTAAAGGAAATTGGCTTTCTCGGGCATGTAGTTTCGGGATCGGGAATTGCCATTGATAGCAAGAAGATAGAAGCCATTACCGAGTGGGAGAGACCAAAGAACGTCAAGGAAATTCGTAGTTTCCTTGGGTTGGCAGGCTACTACAGAAAGTTCGTGGAGAAGTTCTCCGTTTTGGCATCGCCGTTGACGAAGCTCACTCGAAAGGGAACTAAGTTTATATGGGATGACAAATGTGAGAAAGGATTCATCGAACTGAAGAAGAGGTTGACCGAGGCACCGGTACTTGCATTACCCAAACAGGGTATGGGGTACGATGTCTATAGTGATGCGAGCATCCAAGGGTTTGGGTGTGTGTTGATGCAGGAGGGGAGGGTAATTGCCTATGCTTCGCGACAGTTGAAGAAGCATGAGGTAAATTATCCTACCCATGATCTGGAGCTGGAGCAGTAGTGTTTGCACTGAAGATTTGGAGACATTATCTCTACGGAGAGACGTGTCACATATATACTGATCATAAGAGCTTGAAGTACGTGTTTACTCAGAAAGAGTTAAACATGAGACAGAGACGGTGGATGGAGTTGATAAAGGACTACCATCAAGTTATTGAGTACCATCCAGGCAAGGAAAACGTTGTAGCAGATGCCCTCAGTCGGAAGAGTTCGTCTGGGGCATTGTTGACTAGTTTGAGGGCACTGAGGGCCCAATTGGATGTATCTAACGACGGTGCCTTATTGGCACGATTCGAAGTGAGACCAACCTTACTTGAGGAGATCAAGAAGGGTCAAGAGACGGACACAGAACTTATGAAGGTCCGGGAATGCATGCAAGCGGGACCGGTGGAGGATTTCAGGGAAAGAGACGATGGTCTCTTGTTATTTCGTGACCGAGTGTGTGTACCGTCAGATGATGAGCTCCGAAAGTCCATCTTAGAGGAGGCTCATTCATCGGCTTATGCCATGCACCCTGGGAGCACGAAAATGTACCGTGATTTGAAAGAAAGTTACTGGTGGTCTGGGATGAAGAGGGAAATAGCCGAGTACATCAGTCAATGCCTTACTTATCAACAAGTTAAGGCAGAACATCAGCATCCAGCAGGCTTATTACAACCACTTTCCATCCCTGAATGGAAGTGGGAGCACGTGACTATGGATTTCGTGGTAGGCTTACCACGGACTATCAGGAACTATGACGCGGTTTGGGTTGTTGTTGATAGGCTCACAAAGAGGACACACTTTTTACCTATCAACACTACCTACCCACTCGAGAGGTTAGCCAAATTGTATACGGACGAGATCGTGAGGTTACATGGTGTTCCAGTGACCATTGTATCCGATAGAGACCCACGATTCACGTCACGTTTTTGGCCAAAATTTCAAGAGTCTATGGGAACGAGGTTGAAGTTCAGTACTGCTTTCCACCCACAGACAGATGGACAGTCTGAAAGAGTCATACAGATCTTAGAAGACATGCTGAGGGCGTGTGCATTGGAGTTCCAAGGGAGTTGGGACAACCACTTAGCACTTGTGGAGTTCGCCTATAACAACAGTTATCAGGCAAGCATCGGCATGCCTCCATACGAGGCATTGTATGGGAGGAGGTGTCGTACACCGTTATGCTGGGACGAGGTTGGCATGGCCAAACTCGAGGGTACTGAGTTGGTGGAGATCACCAAGTCAAAGGTAAAGTTGATTCGAGAGAGACTCAAGGCGGCTCAGGATAGACAAAAGAGTTATGCAGATAAGCGCCGGAGAACCTTAGAGTTTAAGGTTGATGACGAGGTATTCTTGAAAGTTTCTCCTTGGAAAGGAATCATACGATTCCAAACCCGAGGAAAGCTTAATCCCCGATACATAGGTCCATTCAGAATTATAGAAAAGATTGGGGCCGTAGCATATCGTCTGCAGTTAACTCCTGAATTAGAGAAGATACATAATGTATTTCATGTATCCATGCTTAAGAAGTATGTGCATGATCCCTCTCACGTATTGAAGGAACCACCTGTAGAGGTACGTGAGGATTTGAACTACGCTGTGCAACCTATCAAGGTCACCGATAGGAAGGTGAAGAAACTGAGGAGCAAAGAAGTCCCAATGGTTAAAGTACTTTGGAAGAGCGATCGGGTCGAAGAAGAGACGTGGGAAACAGAGGCTTTGATGAGGAAGCAGTATGCTTTCCTATTCGAGTAGAGCTGTGAATTTCGGGGACGAAATTCCTGTTAAGGGGGGGTGAACTTGTGACACCGCGCCCGAACGTCCTTGAAAATTTGATTTAAAAATTCAAAGTTTATGTATTGGATTTCTGTTTCCCAAACAATTGTAAAACGATTAATGTTTTACGTAATTAATGATCGATTAGTGTACTGTTCGAACTCGTATATTAGTGACGGGCATGCAAATACTATTTGGGTCTTATTAATAAATAAAAGAGCCCAACATTATCCAAATTGTGATACATGACCTTTCAAGACAGTCCGAGTAAGGTCGGACGGCCCAAACGTTATTTTGAGTCCAACCTGCTAAAAATAGCAAGTATTCGAGAATGGCGTTCTAGACCCACTCGGGAGTGACCCACATGGCTAGTAGCCCATTAATATGTATGACAAATGTCAAATAAGTGATAGAATGATTAAAGAAGAATACAAATGCCTATAACCCCATCTTTGGCATTATTGAGCTAAATAATGGGAGTAGGATTTTCCTTCTATAATATCCATCAAGTAAATTATTGGGATGATCATACACATAATGGAGATCAATAATATGATGTAGAGAGTTGACTTGTTCTAAATAAATTAGAATGAGTACAAAGAGACATCTTATGACAAAGAGATCAAAAGTGAGACCCACCCATGTCTAAAAACATCTCATGGAGACCATACCAATTCATTTCACTCCACACAACTTATCCACCCTTATTGAAGGGTCTTGGACACTCCCTTAAGCCCCTCATTCGAACTCCCAAGGATAAGGGAGAAGGAGAGAGCCACACAACCAAGAAAGCAAGAGAAAGGGGAAGCTGCCGCAGGTTCGTTTTCCAGTGCGTAAGGTTACTTGTTTGCTTCATATCTCGAGTTATACACATCCAAATAAGGCGTGCGAGATACCCACAGAAAGCTCTCAAGACGAGGAATCCGTGAAGGTCTGGTTTGCATCAATCGGAGTAGTGGAAGGCTTCCAAATCGTCCGAGCAAAACACAACCTCGCGGAATACGTTTTTTGTATTCAAGGTAAGTTTGAATCCAAAACTTTCCTCTCTATTGTCTAAACCATATAAATGATTGAAGAACTATTATACACTGATTGAAGTGTATAAAATGTTATTATAAAGTGACTTTAATTGTTGGAAAAGTTAGATACTAATCTAGACAAAACCTTGAAAGGTTAGGGAACGATTTCGTCGGGAACACCCGTTCTAGGGACTGTTTTTGTGTCCTCGGTTAGGAGTTGAACTAGCACTTTGGAGAGGCTGTTTAACACTCAATTCCAAGCAAGGAATCAGTTCTCAATCTTCCTTGGCCAAAGCTTTGACCATGGGATCAAGAAAGAAAGGTTTGAAGCTCAATTAAGGTGAGGATGACCGACTACATTGCTTATAATTATTGGGTTAATTTCATAAGATTACCTAAATGAATTATATGTGTTTGGCATGATTTATTTATAATATAACAAAATGCCTAAATGAGATTATTATTGTTTATAAGTAAAAGTGCATAATATACAAATTTATGAATAAATTGTGTATGATTATGTATTATGAATACAATGGTATAATAGCGTGTAAACTATAAATGAATTGTGATAAATATACTTTTACCTCATGTAAGGAAGTCATGGAAGGATAAAAGTGATATTTTGATATTAGAACCAAGTTATACTTGAATGTGGAATTAAATTGAAATAGCCAAATTACTATGAAATTGCATTGGCTTATTAAGGTTAAATGATTAGTATAGAAATACTAGCCGGGGATGTTAGCGTAAAAAGTGATAGAACAAATCCTAAGGGCTTGGATTGTGAAGGATGCACCTTAAGTAGTCTTATGAGATGTCTTAAGGTAGGAATGGGTAACCGCTAAATTACATTAGGAGTAGGCCTCATAGGCTACTCAAGATAGAGAAAACCTAGGCATAGAATTTGCTTAGTGAGTAGTATCGTGACTAGAGGAAGCCTCTAGCACGATGAGGAATGACTGGAGGAAGCCTCCAGCATTCGTGTAGGACGACTAGAGGAAGCCTCTAGCGTAGTGTAAGATGACTAGAGGAAGCCTCTAGCATAATGTAATGTGACTGGAGGAAGCCTCCAGCACAAAGTATGAAAGGTGATTAGAGGAAGCCTCTAACACCGAATGTAGTGACTAGAGTCAGCCTCTAGCACGACAAAACATGACTAGAGGAAGCCTCTAGCATAATGTAATGTGACTGGAGGAAGCCTCCAGCACAAAGTATGAAAGGTGATTAGAGGAAGCCTCTAACACCGAATGTAGTGACTAGAGTCAGCCTCTAGCACGACAAAACATGACTAGAGGAAGCCTCTAGCATGGTAAACTGATATAGATGGGTGTGGCTTGAAGTCACGGGGGAGGGGTTAAATGTTTTCAAAGTAAACATGAGCCTTCGGCCGACTACTTGACTTTATATATAAAGTAAGTATATTTGTAAAGAGGGTAACCACGAGTTATGACCTATATTGTAATATCACCCTATTTGAGGGTCTTGGAAATTGAAACGTTGATTATACTTAGTATAGTTGTCATTGTACTTGTCAAATGCTTCCAAGTACTGACCTCCCCTTCACGGGGGAGGCCACCTCACAGTTTCAGGTAGGACTTGAAGGTTGCTACCACGCCCGTTGCTTCGGGAAGATCAAAGGAGGAGGACGTGGTTCGTGCTTCTTCCGTTTCTGTTTTAAACAATTACAATAATGCTCATGGAAATTATTTTGAATACTATTTGGGGGCTTGTATGCCCATGTTTGCCACGTGTGGCTTGAATACGTGTATTAATGTTTCCGCTGCTTTAAATGAATATTTTACATTATGTTTGTTTATGGATGTACTATGTGTGAATGGTATTCAAGACGCCTAGTATAGTATGTATGAGTTGGACTGCGGTTGACTATTCGTACTGTACGGCGGGTTGTTGACGTGTCCGGTAGGTCCGGGGCGTGACAATTTAATTGGTATCAGAGCCTTAGTCCATAAACTTCATAATGAAGTCTCAAAATTCTCTTTTCAAAATGATTTTTGAAAACCATGAGCAAAAATGTTTTGTACTTAAGAACTTTTGGTGTTTGAGTTGCAAGGTCTCTAATTGTTAAGATGGCGCCCTTAACGATTGGTATGGCGGTGACTTGGCCCAAGAGATGTCTTAAGTGCCTATCTGTCAGTTGACATTTGAAACGAGTCTAATGACTCATTCTAATTATTTCTTTCAGCGATGGAGGGTGATGGTGGTATTATGAATAGGGAGAACTCGGAAGGGTTTGCACCGGGTGGAACCGGGCATGCCAACCGAGAAAAGCCCTTAGGACCAAAGGTGCACGAAACTCTTGAAGCTCAAATCGTGAGTGGTGGTCATGTTAAGACCAAGGAAGAATCACCTTGTTATGGCAAAACTGAACCACTCAAGGCTTCGGGTGACGAAGGAGATGATTTGAGTGATGAGGACCTTGATGGTGCACCCATTGAACAAATGGGCATGGTCATAGATTGGCTTCAACGTGAACGTGTGAGGCTTATACAAAAACGCCAAGCTAGGCAAGCTGAGGGCATACCATTAGTAAGGAAAAGGAAGCGGGGAGACAACGATTCCCAAAGACATTCAAGGAGGACAAACGTTGAGGGTGACAAAACCTTCAGGGCGCAGACACTATCACTTGAGTGGAGTCGAGGCTTGGGTGGCCCGAACTCGAGGTCAAAAGTTTCGAGGGTACCTAAGTGCAACAATTGCAAGAAACACCACTCGGGTAAGTGTCAGGACCCTCCCAGGTGCTATCAATGCACAGAGGTCGGGCACACGAGAGTGAGTTGCCCACAAATTGTGCAAAACCAAACTTCGGGGTCAAGTGGTGGAACTATAAGAAATGAAAACCAAACCGAGGTTTCTCAAGGGAGCAGGGGACATGGGGGAGCAAGCACGAGCAACGCGCCATCCGTGAACCAAGGAAGGACCCAAGCTAGGGTCTATGCGATGACGGAGGCGGATGCTCAAGCTAACCTGGATTCCGTTGAAGGTAGTACCTCTTGTATACTTGTTTTTTATCCTTAATTAGTCCATAAATTGAGGTTGCTAGTCGTTGGGATCGTTGCACGAAGCTTGGGGGTCAAACGGAGCGAAAATCGGGTGAAAGACGGCTGATTTTTTGCCAACGCACACCAGGCTGGACCATACGCACGGCCGTGCGTTGTCCGTGCGTTGGTCCGTGCGTTGGTGGCAGTAGCAACCGGGAAGAAATTGCTATACGCACGGCCGTGCGTTGTCCGTGCGTTGGTCCGTGTGTTGGTGGCAGTAGCAACCGGGAAGAAATTGCTATACGCACGGACGTGCGTTGTCCGTGCGTTGGTCCGTGCGTTGGTGGCAGTAGCTCCGTTTTGAGGTTATAAGACACGCACGCCGTGCGTACCTCCTAGGCACGCCGTGCGTACCTCCTGGACAGCCCAAAGTCGACTTTTTTGCGCCGTATTGCAACGTTAAGACCCGTTCTTGATCTCAAACACGTGTGTGAACATAATAAACCTCTCTAAATGAGTAGGGAGGGTAGGAAAGATGTCTTACATGGTTCATGAATGTAGGGACACTAAAGATTAATGGGAAGGATGCGCGAATCCTTATCGATACCGGGGCGCAACGTTCATTTGTGAATGAAGCGTTCGCCAAGAGTTTGGAAGTGCAATCCGCACCATTGATGCAAACCTTAGTGGTATCAACACCACTAGGGGATGACGTGGAAACAACTCGTTACAATCCATCTTGTGGGGTGGAAGTTAATGGTCAAACCTTGACGTGTGACTTCGTACCGCTGAGCATGATTGAATTCGATGCAATCCTAGGGTTGGATTGGCTAGAAAGGAACCATGCTAGGGTAGATTGCTACACGAAGGTTCTTAAACTCGAAGGCAATGATGGGGAGACCCTACGCTTCGAGGGCGATCGAGGGAGATCAAACAGATGTATCATATTCGTCGTGAGAGCGAGAAGTAGGATGAGAAAGGGATGCCACGCATATCTAGCATACGTGGTTGACATAACCAAAGAGGAAACGAACATCGATGATGTGAGGGTGGTTTGTAAGTACCCGGATGTTTTCCCTAAAGACATACCGGGGCTTCCACCTAATAGGGAGATTGAATTTGTGATCGAGGTCGAACCCGGTACGAAACCAATCTCTATACCGCCATGTCGGATGGCACCTGCTGAACTTAATGAATTGAAAACCCAATTGCAAGAGCTATTGGATAATGGTTTCATTAGAGCAAGACACTCCCCGTGGGGAGCACCAGTTCTTTTTGTGAAAAAGAAAGGTGGGACACTTCGAATGTGCATTGACTATCGTCGACTGAACAAGGTCACAATCAAGAATAGGTATCCTTTGCCTAGGATTGATGACTTGTTTGATCAACTACGAGGAGCAACCGTGTTTTCGAAGATTGACTTGAGGTCGGGGTACCATCAATTGAAGATCAAGAAAGATGACATACCAAAGAGTGCTTTCCGCACAAGGTATGGGCATTTTGAGTTCCTCGTTATGTCGTTTGGGTTAACAAATGCCCCAGCGGCATTCATGGACTTGATGAACCGAGTATTCCATAAATGCTTGGATCGATTCGTGGTCGTGTTCATAGATGACATCTTGATTTACTCAAGGAGTGAAGAAGAACATGAGGAGCACTTGATACTTGTCCTCGAGACGCTACAGGGGAAGCAACTCTATGCCAAATTCTCTAAATGTGAATTTTGGCTAAAGGAAATTGGCTTTCTCGGGCATGTAGTTTCGGGATCGGGAATTGCCATTGATAGCAAGAAGATAGAAGCCATTACCGAGTGGGAGAGACCAAAGAACGTCAAGGAAATTCGTAGTTTCCTTGGGTTGGCAGGCTACTACAGAAAGTTCGTGGAGAAGTTCTCCGTTTTGGCATCGCCGTTGACGAAGCTCACTCGAAAGGGAACTAAGTTTATATGGGATGACAAATGTGAGAAAGGATTCATCGAACTGAAGAAGAGGTTGACCGAGGCACCGGTACTTGCATTACCCAAACAGGGTATGGGGTACGATGTCTATAGTGATGCGAGCATCCAAGGGTTTGGGTGTGTGTTGATGCAGGAGGGGAGGGTAATTGCCTATGCTTCGCGACAGTTGAAGAAGCATGAGGTAAATTATCCTACCCATGATCTGGAGCTGGAGCAGTAGTGTTTGCACTGAAGATTTGGAGACATTATCTCTACGGAGAGACGTGTCACATATATACTGATCATAAGAGCTTGAAGTACGTGTTTACTCAGAAAGAGTTAAACATGAGACAGAGACGGTGGATGGAGTTGATAAAGGACTACCATCAAGTTATTGAGTACCATCCAGGCAAGGAAAACGTTGTAGCAGATGCCCTCAGTCGGAAGAGTTCGTCTGGGGCATTGTTGACTAGTTTGAGGGCACTGAGGGCCCAATTGGATGTATCTAACGACGGTGCCTTATTGGCACGATTCGAAGTGAGACCAACCTTACTTGAGGAGATCAAGAAGGGTCAAGAGACGGACACAGAACTTATGAAGGTCCGGGAACGCATGCAAGCGGGACCGGTGGAGGATTTCAGGGAAAGAGACGATGGTCTCTTGTTATTTCGTGACCGAGTGTGTGTACCGTCAGATGATGAGCTCCGAAAGTCCATCTTAGAGGAGGCTCATTCATCGGCTTATGCCATGCACCCTGGGAGCACGAAAATGTACCGTGATTTGAAAGAAAGTTACTGGTGGTCTGGGATGAAGAGGGAAATAGCCGAGTACATCAGTCAATGCCTTACTTATCAACAAGTTAAGGCAGAACATCAGCATCCAGCAGGCTTATTACAACCACTTTCCATCCCTGAATGGAAGTGGGAGCACGTGACTATGGATTTCGTGGTAGGCTTACCACGGACTATCAGGAACTATGACGCGGTTTGGGTTGTTGTTGATAGGCTCACAAAGAGGACACACTTTTTACCTATCAACACTACCTACCCACTCGAGAGGTTAGCCAAATTGTATACGGACGAGATCGTGAGGTTACATGGTGTTCCAGTGACCATTGTATCCGATAGAGACCCACGATTCACGTCACGTTTTTGGCCAAAATTTCAAGAGTCTATGGGAACGAGGTTGAAGTTCAGTACTGCTTTCCACCCACAGACAGATGGACAGTCTGAAAGAGTCATACAGATCTTAGAAGACATGCTGAGGGCGTGTGCATTGGAGTTCCAAGGGAGTTGGGACAACCACTTAGCACTTGTGGAGTTCGCCTATAACAACAGTTATCAGGCAAGCATCGGCATGCCTCCATACGAGGCATTGTATGGGAGGAGGTGTCGTACACCGTTATGCTGGGACGAGGTTGGCATGGCCAAACTCGAGGGTACTGAGTTGGTGGAGATCACCAAGTCAAAGGTAAAGTTGATTCGAGAGAGACTCAAGGCGGCTCAGGATAGACAAAAGAGTTATGCAGATAAGCGCCGGAGAACCTTAGAGTTTAAGGTTGATGACGAGGTATTCTTGAAAGTTTCTCCTTGGAAAGGAATCATACGATTCCAAACCCGAGGAAAGCTTAATCCCCGATACATAGGTCCATTCAGAATTATAGAAAAGATTGGGGCCGTAGCATATCGTCTGCAGTTAACTCCTGAATTAGAGAAGATACATAATGTATTTCATGTATCCATGCTTAAGAAGTATGTGCATGATCCCTCTCACGTATTGAAGGAACCACCTGTAGAGGTACGTGAGGATTTGAACTACGCTGTGCAACCTATCAAGGTCACCGATAGGAAGGTGAAGAAACTGAGGAGCAAAGAAGTCCCAATGGTTAAAGTACTTTGGAAGAGCGATCGGGTCGAAGAAGAGACGTGGGAAACAGAGGCTTTGATGAGGAAGCAGTATGCTTTCCTATTCGAGTAGAGCTGTGAATTTCGGGGACGAAATTCCTGTTAAGGGGGGGTGAACTTGTGACACCGCGCCCGAACGTCCTTGAAAATTTGATTTAAAAATTCAAAGTTTATGTATTGGATTTCTGTTTCCCAAACAATTGTAAAACGATTAATGTTTTACGTAATTAATGATCGATTAGTGTACTGTTCGAACTCGTATATTAGTGACGGGCATGCAAATACTATTTGGGTCTTATTAATAAATAAAAGAGCCCAACATTATCCAAATTGTGATACATGACCTTTCAAGACAGTCCGAGTAAGGTCGGACGGCCCAAACGTTATTTTGAGTCCAACCTGCTAAAAATAGCAAGTATTCGAGAATGGCGTTCTAGACCCACTCGGGAGTGACCCACATGGCTAGTAGCCCATTAATATGTATGACAAATGTCAAATAAGTGATAGAATGATTAAAGAAGAATACAAATGCCTATAACCCCATCTTTGGCATTATTGAGCTAAATAATGGGAGTAGGATTTTCCTTCTATAATATCCATCAAGTAAATTATTGGGATGATCATACACATAATGGAGATCAATAATATGATGTAGAGAGTTGACTTGTTCTAAATAAATTAGAATGAGTACAAAGAGACATCTTATGACAAAGAGATCAAAAGTGAGACCCACCCATGTCTAAAAACATCTCATGGAGACCATACCAATTCATTTCACTCCACACAACTTATCCACCCTTATTGAAGGGTCTTGGACACTCCCTTAAGCCCCTCATTCGAACTCCCAAGGATAAGGGAGAAGGAGAGAGCCACACAACCAAGAAAGCAAGAGAAAGGGGAAGCTGCCGCAGGTTCGTTTTCCAGTGCGTAAGGTTACTTGTTTGCTTCATATCTCGAGTTATACACATCCAAATAAGGCGTGCGAGATACCCACAGAAAGCTCTCAAGACGAGGAATCCGTGAAGGTCTGGTTTGCATCAATCGGAGTAGTGGAAGGCTTCCAAATCGTCCGAGCAAAACACAACCTCGCGGAATACGTTTTTTGTATTCAAGGTAAGTTTGAATCCAAAACTTTCCTCTCTATTGTCTAAACCATATAAATGATTGAAGAACTATTATACACTGATTGAAGTGTATAAAATGTTATTATAAAGTGACTTTAATTGTTGGAAAAGTTAGATACTAATCTAGACAAAACCTTGAAAGGTTAGGGAACGATTTCGTCGGGAACACCCGTTCTAGGGACTGTTTTTGTGTCCTCGGTTAGGAGTTGAACTAGCACTTTGGAGAGGCTGTTTAACACTCAATTCCAAGCAAGGAATCAGTTCTCAATCTTCCTTGGCCAAAGCTTTGACCATGGGATCAAGAAAGAAAGGTTTGAAGCTCAATTAAGGTGAGGATGACCGACTACATTGCTTATAATTATTGGGTTAATTTCATAAGATTACCTAAATGAATTATATGTGTTTGGCATGATTTATTTATAATATAACAAAATGCCTAAATGAGATTATTATTGTTTATAAGTAAAAGTGCATAATATACAAATTTATGAATAAATTGTGTATGATTATGTATTATGAATACAATGGTATAATAGCGTGTAAACTATAAATGAATTGTGATAAATATACTTTTACCTCATGTAAGGAAGTCATGGAAGGATAAAAGTGATATTTTGATATTAGAACCAAGTTATACTTGAATGTGGAATTAAATTGAAATAGCCAAATTACTATGAAATTGCATTGGCTTATTAAGGTTAAATGATTAGTATAGAAATACTAGCCGGGGATGTTAGCGTAAAAAGTGATAGAACAAATCCTAAGGGCTTGGATTGTGAAGGATGCACCTTAAGTAGTCTTATGAGATGTCTTAAGGTAGGAATGGGTAACCGCTAAATTACATTAGGAGTAGGCCTCATAGGCTACTCAAGATAGAGAAAACCTAGGCATAGAATTTGCTTAGTGAGTAGTATCGTGACTAGAGGAAGCCTCTAGCACGATGAGGAATGACTGGAGGAAGCCTCCAGCATTCGTGTAGGACGACTAGAGGAAGCCTCTAGCGTAGTGTAAGATGACTAGAGGAAGCCTCTAGCATAATGTAATGTGACTGGAGGAAGCCTCCAGCACAAAGTATGAAAGGTGATTAGAGGAAGCCTCTAACACCGAATGTAGTGACTAGAGTCAGCCTCTAGCACGACAAAACATGACTAGAGGAAGCCTCTAGCATAATGTAATGTGACTGGAGGAAGCCTCCAGCACAAAGTATGAAAGGTGATTAGAGGAAGCCTCTAACACCGAATGTAGTGACTAGAGTCAGCCTCTAGCACGACAAAACATGACTAGAGGAAGCCTCTAGCATGGTAAACTGATATAGATGGGTGTGGCTTGAAGTCACGTGGGAGGGGTTAAATGTTTTCAAAGTAAACATGAGCCTTCGGCCGACTACTTGACTTTATATATAAAGTAAGTATATTTGTAAAGAGGGTAACCACGAGTTATGACCTATATTGTAATATCACCCTATTTGAGGGTCTTGGAAATTGAAACGTTGATTATACTTAGTATAGTTGTCATTGTACTTGTCAAATGCTTCCAAGTACTGACCTCCCCTTCACGGGGGAGGCCACCTCACAGTTTCAGGTAGGACTTGAAGGTTGCTACCACGCCCGTTGCTTCGGGAAGATCAAAGGAGGAGGACGTGGTTCGTGCTTCTTCCGTTTCTGTTTTAAACAATTACAATAATGCTCATGGAAATTATTTTGAATACTATTTGGGGGCTTGTATGCCCATGTTTGCCACGTGTGGCTTGAATACGTGTATTAATGTTTCCGCTGCTTTAAATGAATATTTTACATTATGTTTGTTTATGGATGTACTATGTGTGAATGGTATTCAAGACGCCTAGTATAGTATGTATGAGTTGGACTGCGGTTGACTATTCGTACTGTACGGCGGGTTGTTGACGTGTCCGGTAGGTCCGGGGCGTGACACTCTTGGATAGGGGCAGTTTGCTTTGAAGTGCCCAGGCTGTCTGCAGTTGTAACAGAGGTACTCTCCATTGCTTTCAGAGGACTTGGTCTTCTGATGTGGTCTTCTGATGGAAGATGGACTCCTTCCATCTTTCTTCATAAACTTCTTAAACTTTCTGGCAAAAGCAGCCATATACTCATCAGATAACAGAGTAGAAGGGTCAAAGTCACTTACCTTTGAGGTGCTAGCAGTGAGAGCAGTGGTGGTCCTCTCATCAGGAACTTCATCCTTCTCTTCATGCATCTCAAACTCATAAGCCTTGAGATCAGAGATGAGTCTTTCAGTGGCATAAGTCTTGATGTTCTTGCTTTCCTGGACTGCAATCACCTTCATCTTCCAAGCTGAAGGCAGTCCCCTGAGGATCTTCATGTTGACCTCTTTGATGGTGAGCTCCTTCCCAAGCTCAGAAATCTCACTGATGAGAATCAGCAATCTCTCATGCATCTTAGCAATGCATTCTTCTGGTAGGAGTTTGAAGTCATCAAACTTCTTCATTGCAATGGTCAGCTTGTTGTCTCTTTCTTGTTCATCTCCTGCTCCAATCTCATCCAGCTTATCCCAGATTTCTTTGGCAGTTCTGCACTTCTTTATTCTATTGAAATATCTTTCATCAATAGCTTTGTAGAGAATGTCCTTGGCAATGTTGTCAAGGTTATACTGTCTTTTCTCTTCCTTGGTCCATTCTGACCGGGCTTTCTCAATCATCTGGGGCTGAGAGTTATCAATGGAGTGAGCAGGATTGATCTTCATGAACTGGATAAAGGGTCCATTCTCCAAGACTTCCCACATTTCATCATGTAGGGCACATAGATGTGCCTTCATTCTGATCTTCCAATCATCATATTTCTGATCTGTGAACATAAGATGCTTTGCAAGAGAATTATCCATTATAATAAATAAAGAGAGGCTAAGAACAAGTGGATCTTTGTTCAGAGAGTAACCTAAAAGATTACAAGAACAAGGAGGCTCTGATACCACTTGTTGGTCCCGTTAAATATGGTAACCAGTCTAGAGGGGGGGGTGAATAGACTGGTCGGTTTTTCAAATTTTCTCTAAGTCCGAAGTGACTTATCAGAGAAGGTCTGATTCTGATGACAGAGAAAGGCTGGTTCTGATATCAGAACTGGCCTTGGCAGCGGATTCTGATCTGTCCGGGTAGCCTCAGAAACACTAAGGCAAATGCCTTTCGGATAACTCTTAAAACAAGATCTGCTGAACACAGATTCCAAGTCTTAGAGTTAATCAGTTAATATCCTAAGTGCAGAAATGAAAATTGCAGTAAAGTAAATGACACCGGATATTTTATAGTGGTTCAAGGAACAACTCGTTCCTCTAGTCCACTGTTCCACTAGCTTTGAAGTAGATCGGTTACAAAGCTTAGTTCCTAGCACTTAAGAAGTTCTCCACGCCTTCTTCAAGTCTAGCTGCCACCCAGGATGCAATTCCACGTCCTGATGGCTGGTCCTTTCACTCAGCTTCCCGGAAGTATCACCACTTCACTACTGCAGTTACTTGGACGCCCTTCTTTTCAGAAGATCCTTTGAAAAACAGAGTTTTTCCTCCAACTTGCTTCGTTACAAAGGATGTTTGATGAAGTTTTTGAAGTGTTGAAGAACAGGATGAACTTTGCTTGTTTGTTGGGGATGAGAGATTTGGAGTTTGAATCTTCCCAACGTAAGCTTGTCTTGTTGAAGGTTGTTAGAATTTGAATCTCAAGAGAGCTTGAATGATGATGAGCAAAAGTTGTAGCAAAGTTGTTTTTCTGTTCTTCGGTGTGTAGCTTATATACTGAGGTTGTCTGCCCGTTGGAGGAGGAGACAACTGCATTAAATGTGCGTACAGTTGACTTGACCGCCGTTTTGGAAGGTTTCTATTTTTATAATATATCTTCCCGGATTCCTTGGTCAATCATTTGCAATCAATCCTTCAGCGTATCAGGCTCATTTAATGTGCATTAAATGCTTTCCTTTCATGCACAGTCTTCTAGCCGTTGGATGTTTTTACCCGTTGAATTCATAGCTGTTGGATGTTGCTTGAAATCGTCTGAGTGTTCGTCGAGCTCTGATCAGGTTCTTCTGATATGTTGGATTCTGATGGCTGTCTGATGAGTTGAGTTCTGATGGTCTTCTGATCTCTGACTGAACTCTGACTCTGATAGGTCCGCTGATGAGTGCTTCTGATCTGTAGTTCTCATAGGCTATCAGATGTCCAGGCTTATCAGCAACTCTCATGATGCAACTCTGATGGACTTCTGGTAAGAGAACTCTGATGGAGCAGTTCTCATAGAGGAAGTCTGGTCGAGCAGTTCTGATGCACTTCTGATCTGATCCAAAATAGAGCAACTCTGATCGTCGACTACACTAATACTTACAATTAAAAAATCTAATACATAAAATCTAACTTGGGGGTACTCTAACTTTCTAATCCTATAGCATCATCAAAATCTAATTACATTTATTCCTTACACCATCCCGTTTTCTTTGCCATAAAGCTCTTCTTGATTTAGGAATTCTTAAGAGCACTAGATTTTTTTTTCATGAGTTGCATATGGACCTAATTTTCAATATGCGATACAACTCCAATGAAAAAAATTATCTATGAGTTCATAAGTTCGGCTCATTTTGAGATCAATGAGAATGATCTTAGGGATGATACACTCACGTTTTGTTTGCTAAACCGAGAATATTCAATAACAAAACTTGAGTTTGCCGAACATTTTGGCATCCCCGTCCCCTACGAGAGAGAGATTTCAGACAACACCGTAATCGGTCATGCACTTTGGACCAAAATGACCGGAGAAGTGAACTTTAGCTCCTCCCAACTATACATAATCCATGTCCATCATCCCATTCTCCGGATATTTTTAAAGTTTTTGGCAAATTGTATACTTGGGCGCCCCAACAATCATCATACTAGGATGGGGGACGTGTGTTTGATGACCACGATTTTGTTCCGTCGCGCTGTGGATTTTAATCTTTGCAATTTGATGTGGGCACACCTAAAAAAAGAAAGCACGGCTAAAGGCCCAATTGTATTGGGTGTGGTGATTATGCACTTGGCAACAAAGTTTGGGTATACAGATAACTCTCCTATACCCGACTATTGTTTAATGAATATCACTTGGTTAGGCAACTCGGGGTGTACTACTTTTTCTCACACAGTATATGGTGAAGAACATCCCCGACATGTATACAATTGGCTCATACACCCAAAACCGGTAAGACATTTCCCCTTGCCTAACCCGGACCTCCCCAAACTCCATTACAACAGAGATGTGCCCCATTACTTGTTCCCACACCTCCTCCCACCACACCTACAAGAACCTCAAGCCCAAAACCCCCCTGAAAACCAACCCGTCTAAGAACCTCAAGCCGAGCACCATGAGCCCGAAGCCATGCATGGACACATCCCCAAACAGCCCCAAGGTCCTCCACCTCCCGATTACTTCCAACAACTACTTGATGGGTTCAACAAAGTGACCGACGAAGTTGAAAGGTATCGAGAGGAACAAAGGGCAGGATTTCAACGACTTGAGGAGCAACGGGCCGAAGACAACCGGAGGTACGAAGAAGATCAACGTAGGTTCTATGGGCCTATGTACTCCTACATGGCTCATCAAGCCTCGTTCCATACTATGGCTCACCCACCCCCACCCCCTCTTGGTATGATCCCACTCATTGGGGTAACTTTGGAGGATCTAGCTCTGGGGGTGGAGGTTATGATGGCGGGGATACACACATGGGCGACGGAAGTTTTGGAGGCGGATTTGGAGGCGGCTACTATGGCGGCGAAGGTGGGCACCAGGGACAGTGCTTGGACTAAGAAGGGGGGAGACTCCTCATGGTATGTAATTTTATTTTCTACCTTTTACTACGCATGGATTTCTTTTACTCTTTGTAAACAAAAAAGAAAAGAAAAAGAAAAACAAATGCTAGTTAGGTTGAAAACCCAAAAATGGACAATCTAAGCAAAAATGGCTTATAAAAAAATGAGTGGGTTAGGGAAGATGGAAAACAAAAAGAGATGCTAGGATGAAAACCTGAAAAGGTTCCTAGGCAAAATGAGAGATATGAGAGAAATATTTGTTGTGTGCAGGACCTCATTTGATCTCTTAGGAGGAAGAGGAGAAGAAGAAAAAGAAGAAGAGAAGAAGAAAGAGGCAAGAAGATGGAGCATAGAAGATCACAAAACCCAAGAAAGAATGTTGTTTTGAAAACTCATTTTTATTCCTTGGTGGTCTTAGTTTCTTTCTTTCTTGAACTCATGGAAAACTCTTAAACTTTTTGGAACATTTTACTTTACTCGAGGTCGAGTAAAGAACTATGTGTGGGGGAGTTGATACGCGTGTAATTTCCGTGTGTATGTTTGTGTTTTTAACTAGTTTTGGATGTTTGATATTTCGGAAATTACACACTTTTGGTGTAATAGTTATGTTTGTAATTTAGTTGTAATTCATTTAGATTAGGTTCATTCTGAGCTTAAACAGGTCCAAGATCAATCAAATGATCATTGATGAAGGAAAGTGCAAGAGTACAAGACAAACAGAAGTAGACATACCATCTACTTCAATGATTGCATTATAGGCAGATTTTAAAGTAAACATACCATCTACTTCTGTTTGCCTTGTACTCTTGCACCTTCTTTCACCAATGATCATTTGATTGATCTTGGACCTGTTTAAGCTCAGAATGAACCTAATCTAAATGAATTTACAACTAAATTACAAATATAACTATTACACCAAAAGTGTGTAATTTCCGAAATATCAAACAACCAAAACTAGTTAAAAACACAAACATACACACGGAAATTACACGCGTATCATTATGCTTGAATTTATAATTTGTAGAATTTGAAAAACTTTGCCCCCTATCATTATGTAAAAATAATTTGTGGCTAATATACCAAAGGCATCTTATGAACACCCTTAATGTGTGATTGACTCTTTTCCATTCCCGTCGTAATTGAACCCATGGTTGTTGACTTTTTTTGTTGCGGATGAATCTAAAGTTTAGAGTACTCCGAACTCTTTAAATTGATTAATACTATTAATTTCATGCCATTTAGCCCAAAAGTTGGGAGAATTATGGTGAAGATGAACTTTTGATCTTTAGTCAAGAGCATATCACAATATATTCACCCAACGGAGGTCTGCTGACAATTTGAATCAAAATAATCCAAAGGAGGTCTGCCACTTCTATTTGATGTCTAAAATAGTAAGAAAACGTCAACTCAGTACGACCAGTTGACAACAATATGACATATAAGATTAATTAAAAGCTGGGCAGTTTTAATTCTTAGTTGGGCAGAAATACACATGGTAAGGAATATCTGGTTATATCTAGGAATAACTAGCCACTAGGCAAGTGTAAAAAAACTCAAGTAAGATTTCTACATTTGGAAAAGCATTGTAAAGAATGTAAGGCATACTCCATAAATACTGAAACACCATTACAACTATGGCTGAAGACTTGAAGTATTCGACTTCCACTTTCTATTTACAAATCAAACTTTCAGTCATACTTGATCCGGAATTTATAACTTAAAAATAAATGAACATATTTTAATGAAGTATTTTCAATAAACACAAAGCTGAGGAAAGAGTGAAATAATATCCCTTGCCATGACACCATGTTGTGTCAATGCAGTGATAGCCTCAACTATATAAGGACAATGCCTATCAAGAAATAAATACTATGCAAATATGCTCTTTTAGAGTTCTCTCGTATCTCAAATAAAGTCAATTAACATAATTTTTTCTGTATGTATGTTGAACTAAAGTAATTGTAGTTGAATTTGCAAGGTGCGACATAAGTCATACTACATATTGGAATGAATTGGGGAGAAAATATTATCGAGGAGTCAAACATAATTCATTATGAAGGGGGAAGACAGAGGATAATTGGTGTTTCATGTGGGGTGGATATGGCTGAGTTAATGAATAAAATTTATACCGCTACATAATCCATCAATCGTATGAACAAGTTGGATTTGAAAGTTAAAACCCATTCATGGTGGATCATACATGTTGATGCCTCTTGCTGACGATGAAGCCGCTATGGGAATGTGGACTTTAATCATGTATCTTGCTATGCATACCATGGATTATATGTGTGTGTTGAAGAAACGATTGTGTTGCCCATACAACCTGACAACCCGTCATTATCTTGCACATACACAAGTGTTCAAGTTGTGATGAATATGGTTATACAGGAGAATGGAAGATACGTGAACAATGATGCAACGTTTCTGGATTCATAGTGCATTAACGACGATGCAGATGAAAATGTAAACCATGACACACTAGTCGCTTACGGGTTGATGGTGATCTCGTATGTGGCAATGCTCCATCTCACCATTACACTGAAGTTTATGAGCTCCCTGCGGGATTTGATGAATCATGGAGGGGTTGTACAACTTCTAGTCGCTTCTCTGCAGATGGTGAATTCGAGGTTGGGCAAGAGTTTGATGATAAGAAACAACTGATTAACATGGTGAGGCGAGGATCACATTGGGAGATGTGGTTGTACAGGTAGGTCTACCGATCCGGCCAGGGTCGAGCAATTAATGGGACTGCATGCAGACTATGGGTTGATGTGGTACATAGATTGTTGGGAGTACGGCCACAACCCGAGGCAGATATTCGAGGGTCCGCCTTGGTTGAGAGAGCATTTTACAGATTTACCTGTCGATGACGCTGTTGTCCAACAATATGCGAGAGTCTACATATTGATGCTTCTGGGAGCCTCTACATTTGCGGACAGGAGCGGTAATGAGGTGCAGGTTCTTTACTTACCCTTTATGGAGACTTTTGATGTAGCAACACTTTATAGTTGGGGAAGTGAGACTTTAGCATACCTATATCAGCAGTTGTGTCTAGGTTGCCATTGTCACGATGGCAAGATGGGTGATTTTTTATTGCTCATACAATTATGGTCATGGGAGCACATTCGTATTGGTAGACCTGTCATACTGCGATATCATGGGATAGATGCCGGTCCTCTTCATGATGCTTTGGATCTGCACGATGGATTTGTACTTGGACCATATCATGTCCGTGGCGAGGACCCTTTGGGTAGTAGGTATGTTTATGAATTGTGTTTATTTTTTTTATTATGTATGTTGTACTGGAATCCAATTTATATTCTTGTACATTACTGTGTGTCAGGTGGCTTTTTGCTGACGTTACTCGCATGTCATCCGCTGGTGGATTAAGGTACTATCGAGATGTATTAGATGACATGTTTGATGATCAAGTATACCCTGTATATCATTAAGTATAACTACTTTGTTTTACGTTTTTATAAACAATGATGTCATAATATTTTGTATTATACATGACGTGGATGCCATACACTCATGTGATTCTAGGACAGTGTGCCCTTGATTTGTGCCCTCCTGTTGGCCGAGATCACACTCAGACACGACAAGCACGTGTGTCCTTGATTTGTTTTGATGTAGCGGAGCATCACTTTCCTAATCGTGTAGTACGACAGTTCGGATTGCAGTAGGTTATTCCCGCACCTTGTGATACTTCTGTGAACTTACACAAGGTCGACAAACGGGGGAAACACACCGAAGATTGGGGGATGCACCATATTCGATATATCACCATGTGGGATGAGAAAGCGTTGTATATAGTGGATGGGATCCCATCAGTAGTCCACACAGTCTCCGCAGATTACATGAGATGATATCACAACATTACACAGGTGTTCATCTCTCCAAGTTTTTGTCTACCCACCGATCATTACCAGTCTAGCTCACTCGCTCTTCATATAACGATGCACAATATATTCACATAAACCAGTTAATTCATTCATGTGTTTATCACTAATTACCATGCTTTCATTAAAGACATGGGCTTTGCATACTATCCCTGACAGAGCGGCTAATGTACTTGATGAGGGGAAAGATGTACATGGATATCATGAGGTATGTTCGGGCATTGTTGCAATGTGTGATGATATATTGGGTCGATTAGACCATGGATATGTGGCCGCCTCTCAGTATTCCACAACATTTACACCCACAACAGGGACTTCCCAGGCACGGCGACATGATAGAGTGGTTCTTCAGCCTCGTAACTAGCAGAGACACCCCTGACATCAGACACAAAGACACCCCACATGAGCTTTGTGATGATGATCACGTTGGCTATGTTCGGCACTGACTATTCAGTCCATAATGAGCTGAAATATCAAATTTCCAGCTAATTAAAATATGAGTATCCTTGTTTGGGAGGAAGGCTGAATTGAGCTGAAGTAAGATTACACGAGCTGACTTGAAACGTTCAAGCAAGTATCGTTTCATTCAATTGACCGCCTCTGCTTCCTAAATTGCCCCTGTGTTTTGCCCATTACCTTCGTTCTCTCATCAAGAATCTTCCAATTAAATTAAGCAATTAGGAACACATCAATTTCAAATACACTTCGATGTTCTCGTCTATGGTTAACTTGTCCACTATCAAGAATTTATCTTCAATCTGGCCAATAGAGATGTCTACATGTTTCATATTATCATTATTTTAACTTTAAAATTGGTAATTCTTGGAATAAAAATAAAATCTTGAGTTTTAATGCACCTTTTTTAAAAAAATTCGTTTTTAGTTTTTGATAAATTTATTAAAATAAAATAAATAAATCCAGCCCTTCAATATTTTGTTCTATTAATAAATAATACGGAGTATGTCCTTTAATGTAATTTCATATTATTTTGACACTTTTTCAGTTCTTTTTGCCAAACAAGTCTACTTCATTCAGTTAGTAATTCAGATTCAGCACTTTAAAGTTTAGCTCCATACAATAGTACCTGATTCATACAATAGCATCTGTTTCAGACATTAGTCTCCAATTTCAGCTCATTGTGTCAAACATCCTTGATATTTGTACTTTACATTATTGTGTTAAACATGAACTAGCTGATATTTGTACTTTACTTTATGTGATATTTCTAGTGTTGTGATCAAATGTAGTTCAATGACTCGTTTTGACTATAAATAGCAGTTGTTTGATATTTCTGAGTTGACTGTAACATATTAAGCATGTTTATGTGTTTTTTTCTTGAATTAGCCGATGTGGTAATTGCTGTGCATAAGAGTCGCCACTCCAAGTGGCGGCTTTTGTACAATTAGAGAAGAGTCGTCATTCGGAGTGACGACTTTTGTACTGTAAGTGAAGAGCCGTCACTTAGAGTGACAACTTTCCTTAACCATGGTTAATCTAGCACTATTTTGAAAATTATTTTTAACTCAACATTATTTTGATAATTATTTACTCCCTCCGTTTCTAATTCTTTGACACACTTTCCTTTCTTGGAAGTGTCAAAATGAATGTCACACTTCTCATTTGGTAAACAAAATAGTGCCAAACAATGTTTAAACAGTGTCCAAACAGTGTTTAAACAGTAAAATTTACCTCTAAGTAAACAAATTACTTAAATGTTGACATGTCAAACTATGTCAAAGAAAATGAAATGGAGTAAGTATTTAATTAACATGAAAAACTCCTAAAATCATGCAAAGTTCATTTTAATTCATTTTTATAAAGTAAGGTATTTTGTAGAATACGTCATTCTCACGATTTTTAAGATACGAGGGTGCTTATTCTTTTATTTCCAATTAGGGTTTTTCAGGTGGAAACATCTATAATTTGATTTTGGTTGCAGAGAATTGCAGAGTCTTTGAAGTAAAATTAGTTTAGGGATTAGGGACGGATGGGGAGCGGAGATGATCAAGCGTTTAGGGTGAACTTTAGCAGCGAAGGAGTGGCAAAGCTTAGGGAGCAAGTGCAGTTGAAGCTCATGGAGTTCATGGGAGACTACACTGACGATACACTAGTGGTATGATATCAATGACTAATTTATCTATGGGTTTCAGTAATTTTGCTGATATCGAACGTTAGAAAAATAAGGGAAGTAAGGACCGATTTTATGGTGTCACTATATATTATGGCTTATTATGATCCGATTCATTTGACAATTGGATTTTGCTGCATTTTGATTTGAGTGTCAGGCGCCCTTTTTCCTGAAATCGTAATCAAGCTAGAACCTCCACAAAGTCATTTTTTGTGCTTTTTTGCCAGTTAATGCCTTCAAATCCCTTTACTTTAATGCTTGTATGTTTTTAATAGTTATATGGAAAACAGTACGTTTTCCCCCTTTGTTTATTGACACATACCTTCTACATTGTGGATTGAGGTATATTACTGTGCCACTGTTTTTTGTTATCTGTTCGAGTGTTTTTGTACTTAAATCATGTAATTGTAGTTACACTGCGATTCTGCAAGAGGATCTTGATTTCCATCCCTATCTCGTGAAAGAAATAATTTCTATATAGGCTACAATATGAACTATGAATTTGATTATTCCATTGATTTTCTGCCTGTTTTGAGCTTGTGTATTGTGATAAGCTCAGGATCCAGTTTGTCTAAGATAGGGGTTTCAGAGTTTGTTCATAGATAGGAATTTATGGGGAAGATTTGGATACGGTAGTTGTTTTTTCCATAGTGGAATATAAAAAGAAAACATTCTGTTGGTTATACATGCATACTTTGGCATAATAGGTACCCAGGCTTCACTCCCTCCCTCCCACATTCCCTTTTCCCAAACCTTAAGCCTCTTGGAAACTGGTTTTATCATTTTAATACCTGAGATACAAAAGTAGCAGTAAAGTTGTAAAGCATAGTATCTGTATCATGCTCAGGAGAGTACCATACTGTTAACACAGGATTATCTCACTTCATTATGTAATTTTAATCCCCCATTTTCTCATCTATATTGTAGCATAGGCTCATAGCTCATATTTGCTTCTTAATTTGCACCAGTAACTTTGGTTTTCACCATCACCACTTGGTTTAATCACACTCTTATACTTCTGGGAAGTGAGAACCCTAGCTACTGAAAGGTCAGTATCGTGATAAAAATTTAAGGAAAAAGAAAATTGAATTGAACATATTAATAATTGAATTGAATTGAATAAGTAAAGAAAGTATTGCCAGGAAAGTTAATTTGTATGGATATCTTATTGATACCCTATATGGTTTTGTAGTTTTGATTTGAATGTGATTATGCGAGTGAAGCCATACTTGAATTGCATGCCAATTGCCAATCTGTATTGTTTCACATTATAGACCAAACAACCATAATTTCAATCATCAGAGTTATAAAATGTTTGGTCAAAATAGAATCTTATATTGGTACTGTATTCACCATTTATCTGGCTGTGTTTTGAATATAGTAGGAAGCGCTGTCATTACAGAACATAGGTCAACCTTCTCAAAACTTTTACCCTATTGCATGTAGGACAATAGAAATGTTACACTGTTTGTTGGCATTGGATTAAGAGGTCTAATAGTTTTTTCTGTGCATTTGCAGGAATATGTCATGGTTTTGCTCAGAAATGGTAGGAATAAGGGAGAAGCCAAGAATGAATTGGATGTATTCCTCGGCGATGACAGCAACTCTTTTGTCTCTTGGTAATTTGGATTATATTTTTTTTAATTTTTAAATCGTAGTTTTCGGTGCTTTATATTAAGTGATCTCATTACTGGGTTTGCTGTCCGTTAAGGCTGTGGGATCATCTTGGCTCAAATTTAAATCTGTATGTACAACAACAAGAACCCCCTCCTGATGTAGTGGCTAAAATAAGACCTTCGAGCATGGAGCATGCCGGTAATAATGAAATGCACCGCATGAAGTCTGTATCTGGCCAAGTGAAACCTGACATGCCTAGATCCCGCCACAAAAGAGAATGGAAAGGCCTGCTGAGAGATACAGATGAACACCCAGCTGTAGTGGTGAATACCACTTACCGTGAGGTGGGAAATAAGCTCAAACTTGCTTCTGCAGTGCGGTCTGCATCTCCCGAGCCAGAAGTTCAGAGGAAAAGAAGTCAGCCTGAAGATGTTCCAACGAAGAAGGTATATTTGTGAAGATGTAGATATAGTATACATCATTTTTTATGTAGTTATGAAGCTGCTTTTGAATCATGTTGTGGCATCTTAAGGTCTTTTGGTCACGGGTTTTTTATATTATTATGTCAAGCAAGAAAGTAACATAATAATTATAAGTCACATAACCAATATGTATGCACCGATGTTGTAGAATTTAGCTTAGGCAGTTCTTATGCTGCACTTAGGGGTGACGCCCCTTAGGTCAAAAGGCACAATGTAAAATTGGACGTATACCCGTCCACACGTCGCACGACCAATCAGGTCA